AGAACATTAAATCATATTAATCCTCCCCAAAACCCCAAAACCCCATGATGAAGATTACTCAAAATTTATGAGGAGGATTAATATGATTTAATGTTCTTGATTGACTATCATAGAAAAAATGTTATTATATAATTTATTACTAATAATAATGACAAGCAAGAGATTCCCCAAGAATTCAGATGATTAAGCATCGTATTAAACTACCTAAGCTGACGCATATGACTTGGAGGGAAAGCATATTACCTTTGATTCATCTGGGAGCAATTCACTCAATACAATGCCCAATCATTAATTCGAAAATAATCCCTATAATAATAATAATAGAAATATCAAGACTCACATACAGCAGTAACCCTCGAATGGATTTGTTAGTGGGATCCTAAACATATTTTGCGGATGTTGCAATCAAAGTTCAGTTCAAATAACTCCTGAAACTATAGGATTTTAGAATTCTGGTCTAATTCTTAAGAAAAATAGAGATAGAGGCTCCAATAAAAAGATTGGAAAGAACACCTTCCGCCTTGATCCTTCCTTTGATACTTATGATGACGATTCAGACATTAATAAATAGGTTTCTAACTCCAGCAAGATAAATTTTGAAGAAGATTCAACTGACATTTTGTAAAAGGTTATTGAAGGATTAGATGAGATCGGGCAATCATTTTTAAATAATCAACTTAGCTTATTCAACTATCATTCTATGATAGAATGGCAGTCAAGGATTTTATCGGACTTAAGCTCTTTAAAATAGTAAAAACAAAAATCTCAATAATAAACTAAACGCAAGAGAGACCCAAAATCTTGGTCTATTTTAGAGGATGAGTTTATTGAAAAGGCTTATAAATAGTACGGATCTAACTGGGCTAAAATTTCATGCGAGTTAGATTCTGGGAAGGATGCACAAGCATGCAGGAAAAGGATATCCTATTTAGAATGTATAGGCGGTTCAAAATTATGTCACAAGGGAGCCACTGAGTTTGAAACTAACCAAAAGATACTAGACCTTGTCAAAGTGCATGGTAAATATTGGAAAATTATTCAGAAGTAAATCCCAAACCTAACTACAAAATAGATTCGTGATCGATATAACAACATCAAAAATACCATTAAATAAGTCCAGAAATTTACTAATGCTGATGATAAAAAGTTAATAGAGAGACATGAACTATATAGTAAAAGAAAAGATATAAATGTGTGGAAGGAAATTGCTAAAGGTTTTAATGGCAAAAATGCTGCAGCTTTAAAAGAAAGATACTTTGAGCTGTAAGGCCAGACTTCATTCAATACCAAGGAAACTTCTGATATATCTTCTATTCCAAAATCAATTGATGGGCGATTGTCTACTACTAAGTAAAATCCTTCTTAGTCTATTTAACTTGATTAAGATCCTGATTAATCAAAAGATTCCAAACAATAAGTAATAATTCATAGTAATACAGATTGTTTTAAAACTTTTCCGGCTAATGGATATCAGGGCTAGTTTAAGTTTATCTAAGTTCCATAACTCAAGTCTCCCTAAAATATTTAGATGCGCCTGAAGCTCACACCTGCTGATAACTTCAATTATGACACAAATCTTAATAATAGCTGCATTCAAAGCCAAGAAGACTACCAATATGAAAATGAATACCAAGCAAATAGGAAAAAGTACCCAGCTGTGAGTCTTGGAAGTGATTAATATAGAAATTTCGGCCATGCTGGAAACGTTAGTGATTAATACATGAAATAAACAAGCATATACGGTAGCAGTTCAGGAAGTCACAGCTTTGTTAAGAATATAAATGATAAAGACTCAGTTTTTAGAAGAGGCTCACTATTTTCTTAGGGTCCAATTTCTAAGTAATCAAGATTCTCTGAGCACTCTATCATGAACAGACAAGGAAGCAACTCTATATATGGAGGTAGCATGGTACGTGGTATGACTGTTTTGCCAGAGGAGGACGTTTAATCTATAAGCACACACCTTAGTAGAATGTCTTTGGCTTAAAAATCGAATGTGACAATGGAGAATGAGGCGGATATTTGAGGCAACCTCAGAAGTAAACAATCACTATTAAGTAAATTAATGATTGAATATATATTTAAATAATGCAACATTAGTAAATGAGTAACTACCCTACTCTATGAAATGATCGTCATTGAACAGTTATCTGTTTTAACCTTTGTTTATTAATAATTTTTTCATTTTTCTTTAGAAATTAAATTGTTTAAATTTGGGGTTTTGGGGTTTTGGGGTTTTGGGG